ACTTTTTTATTAGATATCCCAAAGAGTGATAAGAGAATATCTACTAGGAATGATGAAATTTTGTGAGAGCCAGGAAGCAAATTTATTATGGGTGACGTTGTGATCAAGGCACTCTCTAAACATCAGAGTAGCATTTTTTTATTTCAAACTTGTGGTCAGTCTAGTTCTAGACAGGTTAATATAAACTGTTCAAATGAAAAAAACTTTGTGGCATCACTTTCAACAATAACTTTTATAGAAAGAAATTCAGTTTACAATTGGCATTGCTTCTTAATAGTGCATCAATATGTATTTTCTTATTTTGCCTAAACTATATTTCTCAATATAGTGATGGTACTTTATTAATATATACCTGCAAAACAATATTACCTGGTATTTCAAATAAGCAGAACAACATCAAACATACAATCACATTTACTTATGAAACAAAATCAATGTATTACCTTTTCTTGATATAATGTTAAGTCATACTAATAATAATCTGATGCTAAATGTCTACCAAAATTCTACTAATAAAAAAGATCTCAAGCTGCTACTCATACAACAACATAACAAAATCCAAAATAATTATATGTTTCTACTTATGAGCACTTAGAATTTGTAGCCTACAATATTTACATGAAGAAAAATACACTGAAAATACTTTCAAACTCCTTCAATATTCTAATTATATACAAAATGGAAAATTTCTGTCTGAATTTCTGTGTTTAGGAGTTATCATTATTTATGTGTTGGTTATTGTCCTTATCTTTGTTCCTATTACCACAATGTTTCAGCCATTGTTAAGTGGAAAGCTTAAAAATCTACAAAAACAAATAAGAAAATAGTACAAATAATTTTGATATTACTACCTACTGACTTATCTAAAAAATTATAATTTATAAGAATTCATGTAAACTTAATGCAAAATTTGTTTCAATTATTTCAAAAACAATATAAAATGAAATCCACACAAAACAAAATAATAAGATTAAACCTGAAGTAGGAATTTACAAAATTGACTGCAAAATCCCAAGAAATATAAAGAGATTATATAAACATAAAAGGGATTTTTCACAAATAATAGACTCACTGCATTAGTCATTCATTGTAATAGGTTTGACCATAATTTCAGCTTAAAGAATGCAGTTTTGATGAAAACAGATAGTAATTTATTAAAGTGAAAATGTACTGAAAGTGCACTGATTTCTGAATCTTCCATTATAAATTTATGTCCATGATCATACAATGTATTTTTCTTTTCTTACAAAACTACTGCTGATACACTGTAGGATGTTTGAAAATAATAATGCAAATGGCAGCTATCTCCTTATAAGGAAATATTCAGCATTCATTGACTGAGCAGTCAGTACTACTTTCATTAGTATTTTTCAAGTTTTTCTCTTGAAACAGTTTTTCAGGAAAATAGGTTTTCAAGTCTACTCACTGTTATTGCTCTTTCCAGTATTAATGAGGATTTCCTTCCTAAAATGTTGTTTGAAATAGTCAAGACATTAACATTCCATAGTATGTCATTTAGGAGAGAGAACAATAAAGAAAACAGGAATTAAGAAGACAGAAAATAACAATTAACATTGCATTTGATTTTTTTAAAAACCCAGTTTATTGTATTATTTAATTAAACATATAGTCCATATTTACCTGAAAATTACACCACATATTTGATTCATCATTACAATAGTTGATATTAGAAAGAATTTTAACAAACACATTTATATAAAATTCAAGAATATATATTATAAAAGATGAATCAAGAAAGTTTTCAATACCTTACACAAACCAGGATTACACAGAAATTTGTGGAATAATGTATCATCATAAAGTCAGTGTTTAGTAGTTTCTTACAAATAGCTGTTATAAATTAACAACAAAAACAAACAAATTAAACTCATTACTTACTACCAATAACTAAAAATCTCCAACATGATCACCAGCAACAATACAACAAAATTTTCAAAAGTTCAAAAAAATCAATGTTATTTATGAATTCACTTGTTCTCTTGGAGAATATCTTTGTAATAAAATACAACACATATATTAGTTACATAACTACTACATTATCATGGAGATTAACATGCTATTTATCTGATAATTGTTCAGTAAAATCATATATCACCAATCAACACAATAAAAAACAAGAAAAATTGACAAATCCTTACCAATATCACAAAAATATTAAATTGTGTAAACTATAAAAATACTAAATCATTAAACATAAAAAAACAAACAACCTAATATGAATAAAATGTTATAAAATTTAAGAACAAACATACTAAATTACATAAATTATAAAAACAAGACACAATAACTGTCATATGAAAATGCAAAACCAAAATCTTTGATAATGGCTTATGAAAGTTGAAAGTAATAAGACATTGGACAATTTATAAATCAATATGTACTGAAACAAGGAAAATAGTCCCAAATATAAGAAATAAATAAAAAGTCCATAACATTCATTGGTCTTTAACCAACACACACACACACACACACACACACACACACACACACACACACATATATATATTTAATAAACTTTCTCACTCTCTCTCTCTCTCTCTGACACTTTTTCTGTTGATTTAGTAATTGAGTTTTTTACTGTAAGCTTTTGTCAGAAAACAGTGCAGAGTCAACAAAACAAGTTTAAATCTTGACATTGTATGTAGGAAAGCAAAATCATAAGATAAAGGCACCAGGCACAATGCATTCAAAACTTTCAGAAGTACCAGTTAATGTGTCTCCTGTGAGTGATAATTACTAATGAAATAGAAATGTGAGTTTCTATTGAGAATTCTTTTGTGTTACAATAATCTCTCCACAAGATGTCCGTGGAGAAATTATTGCAGCCCAAAAAAAAGTATCATTTCGATCAACAAACATCATATACCAAGTCCATTTCCAAAGAATAGGATGAAACAGTAAAAATAATGGGTGGGGAAGGGGGAGGTGCTAGGAAAGAGAATGTTTCTCCAGTTGGCATTTCCATATTATAGGCATTGTTATATCCATGATATACTAACACCTTAATAAAATGGATGGAGCAGAATAGCTGAAATGAAGGAATAACAAACATGCATTGTTCTCAAAGAGATTTTTTATACTGATATATACATACTTGTCCCTAATTTATCCCATATGAGAAATTATAACATATGAATACAACAAGTAGTGTAAAAGGGGTGAAAAGAAAAAGGGTCTTACTTGTGATATTTCCGGAAGAGAAAATAGGCAGGCCAGTGGTGTCCTTTATGTATCTGGTGAGAGCTCTCTTAACTGCTATGGACAGGCATGTCTTTCTTTTCTGCTATCTATATAGCAACTTAAGTAGGCAGACACGTCTTGTCTCTAGATGTACTAATTAGCAACTGACGTCTGTCACATAACCCTCTTGAATTCATTTTTTCCAAAGGGAGATAATCCCTATTTGCATCCCTACAACAAATAAATAAAATAATCATGTTTCTGTGTATAACATAAAAGATTCTATTTCAAAGAAAGTTCCTTTCTGTGTTCTAAATTCATCTAATGAAGCTTGGTGAATATACCAAGCGAAAAACTGTATGAAAAACAAAATTGATGAAACTGTTATACCTTCCTTGGATTCTTCAGACCACTCACTGGTCTATGTCAAGATTGATGTCAAACCAAAATGTTGGACTGTTTTCCAATATTTTAAAGCTGACTGGAATAGCTTCAAATCTTTCATTGCTGGAGCTTCTCTCTCAACTTTCCAAAAATAGAGCATCTAGAATAGCCTCCCTCATTTCTGCATGAGCCCTTTTTCTGATATTGAGAGTTTCATTCTTTTCATGAAGTATCATCAGAAGCTGAACAATCAACTTTGGTATACATCTGATTGTTCTATAGCCATAACTCATTGTTATCATTACTTCCCCCTTCATCACAGCAAATGGTATAGTGAGGCACATACCCCCAATCAAAAGGGACCACAAACATTGAAAAAAAGTTTTAGAGAATGCTGATATTAGCTATGCACAGTCAGTCCAAGCTAGAATTGCCAACAAAAGATTTGGTTCCTATGAGTTCTGAAGCATCGCTAACAAGATTTTTTAACAGATAAATCATGTGCTTATTATTGTTAATGACCCCAAAATCATGTGATCTTCATTGAACAAGGCTAAGCTTTTTTGCAATAAACTTTAAATCATACTCCAAGCTAGATGACCCAGGAAATTCTTCACCTGACATCTCGCTATCTTGTTTTGGGAAGTTTCCAAGTGCATCAAAAAGCTTTACTCTATAAAGGTTATTCCAGTTCTAATAAGAAAGTTCCATTCAGCTTTTCCCAAAGAACTATTACTTTGTAGAACAGTCTCCTTGAACACCACAATCTTAACCTCTTCGGGTTAAAGGTCAATCATTATCTGTTGTCTTTCACTCATATCACTTTTCATTCATCATAACCATTCTTAGAAATAACCTTCTATCATGAGTTGTTCTTGAGCCATGTATTGGTTGAACTTCAATATAAAAAAAAATAAATAAATAAAATTTAGTTAAGTTTAAATCATTTTCAACTGAGAAATTTTCAGCAGCTTCACATATATAGTTGTGGTAAATTATAAAAAAAATATAAATGCATATAAATATAGTTTCCTCCAAAAATTATTGAGAAGTCTATTGTATGCTAAAAATGTGAAAAGAGAAAATCCTTTCTGTGTGTGTGTGTGTGTGTGTGTGTGTGTGTGTGTGTGTGTCCATGTTATTTGATTTGATTGATTCATCTTTGGTTTATCCACTCTTTGCAGATTATGTAAAGTCAGAAACTATTTTTAGATTGTAAGAAGTTTTTGTAGTGGGAGGATAATAATGGTCTAGTGATACAAAGTCTTACTAATTAACCCATAGCTGGGGGAGAAGAGGTAGATTCCTGACTTTCCTAAGGGTATTGGCACAGAAATGTATATGACAAACACAACTCAGGTTTCTGATTAACAATTCCAAGCCATTATCTGTTACAACACCCGTACATCCAAACTTTCAGCACCTGGTATTCCCAAGCAGTCACCCATTTAGGTACTGACCAGGCTCAATGTTGCTTAATTTCAGTGATTGTACAGAAACCAGTGTTTCAATGTGATGTGGCTGTAAGCTTGTGTTGATATAAAGAAAAAGGAAGCAACAGTAAAAGGAAGTGAGAGGCAAACAGAATTATCTTGTGCTCTACTTGCAATATAGAGTTAATCTGATCTTATACACTTATCAGTGGAATTACATTATTACCAAGACATATTGTATATACTGAATTTGAAAGTAAATTCTCAATGATTTTACAATTTATTGGCAAAACATTCTGTAATTTAAAAAACAAAAAATTGAATTCAGAAAAGAACCTTGATTTTTTTATATCTGCTTAAAAGACTTAATTATGTGAACTTTAAGATTTAAATAAAAAAGCAAACATTACAAATGAAATAAACGAATACCATTAATAAAATGAGAAGAAAAACAGGAATTGCTAAAAAAACAAATGGCATAATCAAGAATTTATTAAAAAAATAAAGGAATATTGAAATATCATGTGTAAATTTAAAGAATAATATGAATGCAAATAAAAATGAATAGAGTAGTGAATAAAAGAATTAAAAATAAAAGAATTAAAAATAAGAAATAAATGGAAATGGAACAGAAGAATTAGATCAGAAAAGAAAAAGAAAAGTAAAAAAAAAATGATCAATAGTAAAATGGATCTAGAAATTGGTAAGATGAGAAAATTACAAAGGATGAGCATACATGAATAAAGATTAGGAAAATAAAATATAATGAGAATGGTACTTAGGAATATGATTAGCAAGGACAATAAAAAATTATAATGAATTTGCATGAAGATGCTATACTAAATTTCTTATAGCAGGTAAAAGTAATTTCAATTTAAATTGCTATAAGTCAGTAGAAAATCATTGAACTAGAAAGAGATTACATTACAAAAATACCAGAATAAAAACAGACATTTACAAAGTTAGAAATGAACAGAAGGAGAAAATAATGAGAAGCAGTATGTTAGTAAATCATTATTGTCTTTGGGTTTAGTATGAATCCTAAAACAGTTACACTTAAATGACTAATAGATGATGTTGAGATGTTTATTTCTTTTAGGAAATTTTCTGCCAACTCCTCCCATCCATTATTAAGACCACCATGTTAAATTTGCATTTTTTGACCCTTTAAATGATTTTATGACACCCACTAGTTTATTTGCAGGTTGAGAATAATTCGGAACCCATTCCGACCACAATGTATTAAGCACCTAAAAATCCAGACTCCATTGTATTAGGCACCTAAAAATTCAGACCCCATTCCAACGCCATTGTATCAGGCACCTAAGAGTATTAATAGAAACAAAAAGGACATCTATGCTTAATAACAACAAGAAACAGTTGAGATTTCTAGGGCTTGAAAAATTTAATAGTTACAGGGCAGATTGAAAGGAAACAGAGGAAAAGGACGCATAACCTACTTGGTGAGGTTGAGGGAATGGATGGTAGAGCAGGTTTTGGGAGAGATAGCATAAAGACAAAATATATTAAGAGATACAAAGGACAGGAAATTGTAGAGAGCCATGATCTTCAATATTCTGAAGGGACACAGCACATAGAAGATGATGATGTGGAATATTAAGCAGTAAATTATAGGCCCCTGTAAATTTGATGATAATATCAATGTAGAAAATTATTGTAAATTCATGGATAAAACATTTTTGTGAAAGAAGTCACATGATAAATACTTGAAGCTAAAGTTTATATTCATGCCAGAGAATAATCCTTCACATTCAGCAAAACTTACAATTGCTTATCTTGCCAAAAAAGGTTTCAAAGGCACTATCTGTAGATATTTAGCTAATAGAAATTTTGTAGTCTATCATTCAGAGTGATGTATTTGAGAAAAGAAAACAATATTTAAGCAAAGGTGTCTGGAAAGCAATTAAAACTGCTGTAATATCAAATTTGAAATGGTAGAAAATTTAATAAAATCAATAGCTCATAGACTGATAAAGGTTATAGGATATCAAGGATCCCATATAAACATGTAAAGTAATAATTTATTCAGGTATATGGAATGTTATGTTTCTGTGGCCGATATCTTTTGGATTTATTTATAAATAAAATCATTATGCTACATTTAGTTTTTATGCATAATAAAAACTGACATCTGGGTAAAGAAAATTGCTTTTGGGACAAGTACTATGGAGCGATGAAACAAAAATTGAGCTTTTTGGACATAATGATGTACAGAAGATTTGAGGCAGGGAGTTAATTGCAATAAAAGGAATAATGAAATTGCATACTATATCAAAATTCTGGATGAAAATCTACAACTATCAGTGCAAAATCTTCATCTAGGTTGGTGATTTACTTTCTAGGAAGATAATGATCCCAAACATATATCTAAATTAGTTACAGTTCTTCCATTGCCTTCAATGAGTCCTGACTTGAATCCTATTGAAAATCTATGGCAAGAATTGAAAGTCCAAATAAATCATCTGTCATCAAAAACCGTCAGTAATTAGAACATATAACCATTGAAGTATGGAAGAGAATCTCTTAAAAGACTTGTGCAAATCTCATGAAAAACAATTGCAGCAAATTATAAAGATAAGAAGCCATGCTATTGACTATTAATATTGTGAAAATTGTTCATTTTTTTCTATTTTTCATACTGTATGAATAATTTTGTCTTTTTCCAATTCGCCTGTCAACTTTGTTGTATTTAACCTATTGTTCTGAAAATTGAGTTGCATATTCCTTTTTGTGGTTATTAAGATATAAAAAAAAGACTCTGGCATCATATGGGCATTAGATTCTGAAAAAGGATAAAAATATTAAAAACTGATTGGTGTACAAATAATTTTGTCGTTGACAGTACCTGTCATTTGGTTTATCCTATGTGCACACATTTTAGGCACAGCTGGGTCAACCACATGTTTACATGATGGGGAGCAGCCACAGACATCTAGTGAAGGCTTGGATCTGCTCCTGGTAGCTAACACATCTCTCAGGTAAACCTGTTGATGCACCCGGCTTCTCTGAACAAATTATAAGAAATGAAAAGAAATGAATGTAACAGAATAAAATAAGAACTTCAAGGAAAATTCAGGAGAGAAGCAAAAATAATTGCAGGTGAAATGCTTTTGGATATGGTTGAAGAACAACTACTTGCAAATGGAAAGAGTTTACATTCCTGAATGAATACATCAGAACATACTACATTAAAGTCAAACCAGACAAGGCATGATAAAATATTAGATGTCACCTTTGCAGTGACAGGAAAAAAAATATGTAGCACAGAAAGAGTTCAAGAGTTGATTTTTAAAATATTTTTAAAATCTTTTTAAATCTTTTTTATAAAGATAAATAAGATTGGATAGGAACAGAGATTCAATGAGAGTTGTACAAATTCCTTGGATATTGGATAGTAGCTATCAGGTAGATCACAGTAAAATTAAGAGATTGAAAAAAAAAACCCTAGAAAAACACAACAAATTGTGAAATATGTGCTCATATTCTAAGATAGTTGAACAGTCTTGAACAATCTTGCAAAAATGGAGAAGAATTAAAAATCTGGTAAGAGCATCAGGAATTTTGAGAAAAATTCTAAATTTTTAAAGATGCTTGCTGTCAATTATGTCATGAGAACAACCAGAAATTATTGGTATTAAAATTGGCATTAAAATTCACATAATAAAAAAGCAATCAATGTAGTAATAATAAAAAAAAACAATATAAAAAGTTAAGCAAAATTTAAGGAAAATTTAGATGTAAAGAATAAGCAATAATAAAAAATTTAAAAAATATATGATAATAAGGAAGTAAGGATGATAAATCAGAAAGAATTGTTGCATGATATTAGAATGCTTGAGTAAATATTAGTTACCATTATGTTGCAGGAATCAACACTTTGGATAGTAAATATTTATGTGGGCTCTTGAAACATTTATCCCACAAACAATATTAGCAGACTTGATGTGAGTCCAGGTAAAAAATAAATACACAAAACAATAAATACAAAACAAATGATAATGCTAAAAACAAATGATAATGTGTATGTGTGTTTAACAAGTATGTGTGATAACATGTGTGTGTATATGCATGTGTGAGAGGGTTCAAAAGTCAAAAGAGGACCAAAGAAGCGAATGTGCCTTGTCAGCAGCATTCCTATCTATGTGCAACTACATCTGAAAGTCAGAGCTAAAAAGACCAAAAAGAAAAGGCAAGAATCATTGTCTATTTATAGGCTTAAAGAGCGCCCCCTAGCATGTGTTTTGGCAAAGTCAAGTGAGATAACCCACAGGACCAACGAACGACAAATATATCAGAATGTAACTACAGAAATACAAGAATAAAGTAAAATGGTTAAGGAATGTTAAAAAGATTAGAGTTGATAGAAATGAACATATGTGCTCTTTCACTTTTACAGAAAATAATAGTACAATGAAGGAACAATAAGAATAAATGGAAGTGAGACTATTTGAATGAAAAAATATGATTTATAGAAAGAATGTAAATGAATTTGAAAAGAAAGAGAAATATGAAAGAATGAAATCACAATAACCCATACAGTACCATCATAATACTGCTGAAAATTCATGAAAAAGAAAAAATATTTTATAAAAATAAATAAAAATGTCAAGGTCAGTTATTTTATAATTTGTTTCTTCTCAAATTTTTCTATTTATCCTTTTTCATTTTTGGCTTTATTTCCAAAACAGAAGAGGATAATTTAAGTTTTATTTCTTATATACTGAAAGCTAATTAAAATTTTAAATCTTGAAAGTTTATATTTTAAAAAAAAGATTTTGCTTCTATGAAAACTTTTTAAAGTTAGGATTACAATTTCAGATTTTATTTTTAAACTAGAGATTTTTTTTCTATCTATTAAAATAGATTCAAGAAAAGATTTTTATTGTTTTTTTTTTTTATATTTTATAATTTACTGCTTCTTTCCACGACTACATTTGATTTTTGATTTGATTTTTCCCTTCCTTTCTTTATCATTATTTTTTAAAATTCTGGTCATTTATGTCTGAAAAGATCTAACTCTGAGTTTTGGATAAATAATTTTAAGATGGCCCACACATGTTTCAATCGAGTG